TTTGTTTCAAAGGCGATGGCCGATTCGGTTCATGATTCAACAAAAAGTTGCGTGGGAGAAAGCTCTTGTGAAGGAAAAGGTAAAAAAAGAACTTTATTGTTGAATTAGTTGTCTTATATTTGATATGGTTGAAATTATTTTTTTAATAGTCTATTACTTTTAAAATTTTGTGGTAGAAAAAGAAATGAGGAAAGCTATGTTGCGAATAGAGAGGTACTGACGTAAGCGATTGCCCTCATTTGAAGACAAAAGTAGGGCTAATGCATATGCCGAACTTAGGTATGATATTGGGGGTTTGGTGCAGAACCAATGTTCTACCGAGTTTAAGTCTTCGAAAATGGTGCCTGGGGAGTTGAGGAAGTCCATGGTGGGGGAGTTATCGGTAAGTTTGTATTAAAGAATGTATAATTATTTTGGTTAAAAAGTAGCATTTTTTAAATTACTAATTTATTTTTATTGGCATTAATACAGGTTCATTGGGATGTTGATGAAATTGATGAGAAGCAACAGAAGTATCTGGATGACATTTTCAAGATGCATTTCCAGCTATGGAAGTTCGATATGGAGCGGGCAGCGAAGCGTGCGGGAGTTCCCGATGCCCTGGAGGAGGAGGATTGAAGTTTATTTGTTTTTGTTTTTTTTTTATTTATAAAATTTGGACATTATGTTTGGCTTTATTTAATAAATTTATGTTATATGGATGACTATTAGTATTTAGATTAAAATAAAAATTTACATTAGTTAAAAAAAGGGAAAAAATGAAAAAAATAATAAAAATATACATGTTGTGCGACCAACAGAGTATTTGTCACACAACTTGTTTACATTAATTAATGATAAAGAAAATGAAAAAAAAATATTTAGACTTGCGTGATGAATATATAGGTTCATCACGCAAATGCAAAAGTAATCTTTATAATATGACTTCAGCTGCAGAGGCAGAAACTGCAGTAAAACTGTAAAATCCGCCTCTGCACCTCCTTCCCCTTTGTTTTTCTTCAATCCGGCATCCGTCACTTCTAATTTCTCTCAATTTCATCATCTAATACCCTCCATCTTCTTCGCTAGGTTGATCGAGCTATCTTAGTGTGTCTGGTAAGCGTTTTTTTATTTAGGGTAAAACTATTAATGTCAATTCATACTAGCGACATGAAATTCGTTGTCTATAGGGATATTGTATGTGATTAGCGATTGGTGGAGAACGATTTGGAAGGTATTTTCTTCGTTTTATTTAAAAAAATATATATATAATTAATTAAATTATGTTGTGAAATTATATTTATATTATGCTGTTAAATTTGTACGTGACGTACAAATATGTGTTGTGATGTAAGGAATTAATTATAGTTAACTTTGTACCTGCTTTTTTTTTTAGTAAAACTTAGTTTCCCATTCGAGAATTAGTTGGATTTCGTGCATGGATGCAAAAGAATGACTGTGGTCCAATTGATTCTTGAATTGTCCCATTATTTAGATAGTTTGGGACTGCACAGTTATGGCGCTTAGTTTATGGTTCAATGATTAGGTTTCGGTTGTGGGGATTTCGGTCTCATCTCTGGATTTTTTTTGGGTGGCACATAGGTATTTCATATCTACGTCGTCCATCTGAAGAACTGTATAGAGATGCTGCCAAAATTCCTCCATGTCGAAATCTAATCTGATGTAGCCGTAAATTACGTGACATTACTTTGCATTCCAAAATGGGATAGGGCACTTACTGGAGGCATAAGGTGACAATATTATGATGAAGTTGTGATTTTATTGACTTTGCATTCCAAAATGGGATAGGGCACTTACTGTTATTGTGGCTGCAGGAATTATAGACAGAACGGGGATACATAACCCGAACAAATGCACATACGAATACTTGGATGGAATCGAGGATTTTATTGACTTTGCACGTACACACAACCCGGGTGCAACTAGAATCCGGTGTCCTTGTAGGAGGTGTAACAACACGTTAAGAGACACAATTGAAAATGTTCGATTTCATTTTGTAAGGAATGGAATGGTAGAGACTTATAATACTTGGAACCATCATGTTAACGCCACAAGAGTGGACAATGTTGAACCTAATGAACAAGTCATTGATATTTTAAATGATGCTTTTCCATTTGCATCGACAAACACCAATCTGAAAGGGGAAGATGACGTGCCTACACCAATGGACAATGCAGAATTCGAACAATATGAAAAACTATTAAAAATGACAACCAAGAGTTATACCTAGGGTACGAGGGTTTTTCGGTTCTCACGGCTATTATGGAACTAATGCACGGAAAAATAAAGTATCATATGTCGAACCAGTGTTTCAATTACTTTTCGCGGCTTTTCAAGAGAATGCTACCAAAGGACAATTGTTTGCCGAAGGGCTATAGAAATGTACAAAAGATGTTGAATGGTCTTGGATTAGGTTATGAAAAAAATTCACCCTTGCAAAAACAATTGTATTTTATTCTATAAAGAGAATAAAGCATTAGATAAATGCCATGTATGCAAAAAGTCGAGGTTCAAAATGACATCTTAGAATAGAACAACTAAGATCCCACAAAAAGTCATGCGTTATCTGCCTTTGAAACCTAAGTTGCAACGATTGTATATGTCGACTCATACTGCCACCGACATGAGATGGCATAAGGAAAAACGGGTAGATAACGATGTGATAAGGCATCCTGCAGATGGGAAGGCATGGAAAAAGTTTGATTGAATGTTCCCTGAGTTTGTTGTTGATCCTTGGAATGTTAGATTGGGATTTGCCACTGACAAATTCAATCCATTCGGAGTTCTAAACCAACACCACAACACTTGGCCGATTTTCGTATTTTCATATAATATGCCAGCTTGGAAATGCATGAAAAAAAATACATGATGATGACTCTTTTGATAACTGAGGATCCTAGTAGGTTAATCGATGTTTACTTAAGGCAGTTGGTTGATGAACTAAAGGATTTATGGACAAACGGTGTGTGCACATACGATAAGTGTACTGGGAAGATGTTCACTTTGCAGGCATCAGTTATATGGAATGTGAACGATTTTCCTACATATGTAATGGTTTCTAGGTAGAGCATTAGGGGTTGTATGGCATGCCCTGTTTACAAGAATGATGTAACATCTAGTTGGCACGCCGGAAAAGTTTGTTACCTTGGTCATCGGAGATGGTCACCATGGGAACACGAGTGGTGGGAAAAGGATAAAGAGTTCGATGGGAAAACAGAGCCTCGCCTTAGACCTAGAGAATGGTCCAGTGATCATATTTTGAAATAGCTTAACCGTTTGGATTTTGCTTCATCTAGGAAAACAGTGAGTACGACCAGACCTTCTACACATATGAACTGGATGCACAAGTTTACGTCTTTTGAGCTCCCGGGACATAGCCTAGACGTTATGCATGTTGACAAAAATGTATTTGACACATTAATGGGCACCATTCTAGATATCGAGGGCAAGACAAGGGACACGATTAAAGCTCATCATGATTTGGAACGAATGGGAATACAGAGGGGTTTATGGATGAATATGGACAATGATAAAGCCATAAGGGATCTTGCATTTCTTTTTTTTTCCATGAAACCGAATGACAAAAAAGAGTTTTTAAAGTTTTTATCGTCTGTAAAGTTTCCCGATGGGTATGCTTCTAAAATGGCACGTTGCGTGAATGTTGACGGGGGTAAATTTGTTGGATTAAAGAGCCATGATGCCATGTGGTTATGCGATGCCTACTTCTTGTGGGTATTCGACACCTATTGCCAGAAGATGTAATGAAGCCAATCATTTTGTTGTCCAGTTTTTTTTTCCAATTGACGTCAAGAACATTGCAAAAGACGGAAGTTAATCAGTTATACCATGACATTATCCAAGTCCTATGCAAGTTTGAGATGATATTTCTTTCAACTTTCTTCACAAGTATGATCCATGTGATGGTTCACTTGCCAGAAAAGGCATTGATTGATGGTTATGTCAACTATCGCTGGATAATAGAAAGGTATATAATCCTCATCATTTGTTTATTCATCATTAATTGATGCTTACTAATTTGTATCGTATCGTTTTATTTTGGCAGGCTTCTCGAAGAGTTGAAAAAAAAGTGTACACAACATGGCGAATACCGAATAATCAATTATAGAGGCTTGGGTTCAATATGAGTCGCTTACATTTTGTGGAATGTATTTAAAAGATGTGAAGACGATTTTCAATCATCCTCAGCACAATAATGACAGGGGTGTGAGAAATGAGAAACTTTCTGTTTTTGCCCAAAGCGCACGACTCTCTGGAGATCCTGTACGAGGCGAGTTGTTTTCAAAAAATGACATGGAGGTATCACATTGGTTCATACTAAAAAATTGTGATGAGACAATGGCATACCTAGATGAGCATGAAGAGATGATGAAGCGAGAACATCCATCACATTTGTATGCCAAGAAACACCGTGAATTGTTTCCATAGTGGTTTCTCGAATATGTAATTTATAATTGTTTTGTATTTAACATATATATTGTAGTATTTACTTTTCTCAAACTAACAGGTGTATGTTTTTGTATAATGTTAGGTAAATCAATTGAAAGTATCGAATTCCCCTACTTACCATGAAGAGTTATATAACATGGCGTTTGGACCAATTCGTGCTGAATTGTTCTCGGGTTGCCATGTTAACCACGTCAAGTTTTTAGAGGCTGAACGAGATGACAAGTTATGTACACAAAACAGTGGTGTCCATGTCTCAGGTGGAGGCGAAAGTATAGACATTAATTTCTATGACAAACTAACAAGTTTCGTGCAATTACTTTACAAGGGTTGATGCCAAGTGATCATGTTTAAGTTTCGACGGTTTGATACAAACCTAAATAGGCATGGAAGTGTTAAAATCGACCATGACTTACTATATGTGAACACTAACAGAACTTGGTATGATGGTGACCCTTACATTTTGGCGAACATGGCAAAACAAATTTTGTATCTAGATGACCCTAAAGTCAGGAGGTTGAAAATTTGTTCAGAAGATGGATCAGAGGAATGCATATGTTATACCAGAACAAGATCCTACTGATGACGACATTGACAACGTTGCTGACCAACATATAGAATCTTCAATCGAAATATTGATTCAGTCAATTACAATTGACCTCGGTAATCTTCCATAATACGATACTGTAGTGGGTCCAAACAACAACGGTGACATACCTATCGACGAGGAGGAATGGGAGACTGAAAATGATGATAGCGACGATAGTGAAAGTATTATAGTTCGGATGATGATGAATAATGCAATTTATTTGTGACTTGCTTTGTAAAACATATTAAATGATATTCTTATAATTTATTTATCTTATGTTATAAATAAATTGTTTTTATTTGAATAAATTTAAATAAAAAAAAATTGACCTAGGTAAATTAAAATTTTCAATTTATTGCACAACCAACATGAAGGCATTCGTTGTGCAAATGTTCTTTGCGTGACGACCACAATCCTTTTCGTCGAGCAAGGAGTTGAAAATTTGACTTTCTGGGCGGGCACCAAAATAATTTTGTGAAAATTTGAATTTTTTGCACGACGAATACCTTTCTTTTCATCGATCAAGAATCTCGAGATTTAATTAAAATGCCAACACCTTTTGTCCTCAGTTCTTCCTATCTGTTTTTCTCGATGCTGCAAACTCTCTCTCACTCAACCTTTCTCTCCTCCTCCGACAACCCTCACTGTCACTCAATCTCTGTCACCCTCTCGGCATCTCACCCTCTTGCCATCATACCCCGTCGCACTCTCTTCCTCCTCTGATAGCCCCCTCTCTCACTCAATCTCTATCACACTCTCTCTTTGAGGTAATTTTTCAATTTACTTAACTCTAGTGTTATACTTGTAATTAGGGTTCTAGGAAGTAGTAATTGTAGGATTATTTCTTAATTTCAAATCAAGGATAGGAATTTGTAATTTTAGGATTTAGTAAAGTTAGGAATTAGGGTTTTAGAAAATTTTAGGAATTTGTAATTTTAGAAATTAGAATTCTAGAAAATTTTAGGAATTTGTAATTTTTGTAATTTTAGGATTATTTCCTAATAACATACATATCTGCTTTGCATGCATATCTATCTTGATTGCATATATGATCCACATTTTTATTGCTCACAATGGTTGCCTATATATATGTTGTAAACTTTCCTAATTTAAGTGTAAATCCATCAAGATTAGATTTGATTTTAGTTATCATTTCCCCTATTACAACTTGTATTTGTTGGGGATGAAGGAATTTATTTTCTCCTTTACTACTATAAATAAAGGCACTATGTAGGAGGGATACACATTTCCCTACAATTCTACAAACACATCTCTCTCAATCTCTCTACTCTTACCGCCGGCCCCCCTTCACTTTGTCAAATACAATAGGCTACAACTATATATATATATGCATTAGATTAGGTTTTCATTGTTGCTGCTGCCGTATCACATTCACACACATATGAGAGCAATATATATATATATATATGCATTAGATTAGGTTTTCATTGTTGCTGCTGCCGTATCACATTCACACACATATGAGAGCAACTATTAAAAGTGAATTACTCGCTGGACAAACTTCACAAGATCGTCCTGACTTACTCACTAGAGTATTTCGTGCAAAACTTGAGCAACTAAAAGAAGACATCATTGAAAAATGGGTATTGGGCAGTGTTGTTGCCTACGCATACGTTATTGAGTTTCAGAAACGTGGTCTTCCACATGTGCATATGCTGGTGGTGTTAGATGAAAATGATAAGATCAATAACCCAGATGAGTATGACCGAATTGTTAGAGCTGAAATACCAAACGAAGACGTAGAGCCTCAACTTTACAATGTGGTGTTAAAGCATATGATTCATGGCCCGTGTGGGATTCATAATCCTCAATCTCTATGTATGAAAAATGGGAGTTGTAAGAGAAAGTATCCCAAACCATTTGCACCAGTCACTGTTTAAGGGAATGATTCGTATCCAATTTATCAAAGGCAAGGAAATCAATTGCCCGTCTCACTTGATCGACAAGGAAACATAATGGTTGATAATAGTTGGGTCATTCCATATAATCCATGGTTGCTGTTAAGGTATGATTGTCACATCAATGTTGAAATTTGTGCAAGCATAAAAAGTGTCAAGTACTTATATAAGTATGTTTACAAAGGCCCAGATAGAGTGACAGTCGAAGTGCAATCAGACCCTGAATACAATGAAATAAAGCAGTTTCAGGATGCAAGATGGGTTTGCGCACCAGAGGCATTATGGAAGATATTCAAGTTCATTATTAATCGAATTTACCCATCTGTTAAGCGATTGCAAATACATCTTCCTAATATGCACCAAGTTCAGTTTCGTGCCGACGAGAGCATAATAAATATTCTCCATGATGAGAGTACAAGAAAGACAATGTTAACTGAATTTTTTACGCTTAATCATGTGGATGCAGAAGCGCGACGGTACTTATACATGGAAATCCCATCACATTACAGATGGAATCAAGCTCAAAGAAAGTGGTCTAAAAGAATGAATCGTAACAAGGTTATTGGGCGAATATATGCAGTTTCACCTGCTGAAGGTGAAAAATTTTACCTTCGGATTCTTCTTAATCATGTTAGAGGACCAACATCCTTCACATACTTGAGAACAGTTAATGGGGTTTTGCATCCAACATTTAAGCAAGCAGCAGAACAACGAGGTTTGTTAGAAAGAGATGACAGTATTCGACAATGTTTGCTAGAGGCCTCCACAATTCAGATGTCGTCGGCTTTAAGAAGATTATTCGTCACCATATTGGTATATTGTGCACCAATTGGTGTTCGAGGGTTATGGGATGAGTTCTATCCATTCATGATAGAAGATTATGTTTCCATGACTAACATAACTCCCACACTTGCTACCAACAGACTCTTGCGTGAGTTGAACATACTTTTGGTTCAATTTAATAAGAGTATAAACGAGTTTGATTTGCCCCAAATGACAAGAGGAAATGAATCAAGTTCAGGAATGACAAGATGTATTGAAGATGAGATATCCATAGGTATTCCACAACAAGATCTTGATGCAATTGAACGTTTAAATGATGACCAAAGAAGTGCGTTTAACATAATAATGGGTGCAGTTCAACGATCAGATAATGTAACTTTTTTTGTGGAGGGTCCTGGTGGAACTGGAAAAACTTACTTATATTGCGCATTGTTAGCAAGCTTGAGAAGGTTGGTTCACATAGTATTAGCAACAGCATCATCTGGAATAGCAGCTATGATATTGCCTGGTGGGATGACATCACATTCTAAATTCAAGATACCACTTAGTCTTGATGCATCATCGATGTGTTCGATTGGTAAGCAATCTGATTTAGCAAAGCTAATACAAAAGGCAAAGGCAATTATCTGGGATGAAGCAACAATGACGCATCGTCATGCATTTGAAGCACTTGATCGAACGTTCAGAGACCTAACAGATATTGACTTACCATTTGGGGGGAAAATAATGATATTTGGGGGAGATTTTCAACAAGTTCTTCCTGTTATCCGGAAAGGAACCAAGTCCGAACTAATCCAAGCAAGTGTTGTTAAGGCATCATTTTGGTCACATGTAAAGATTTTAAAACTCAAACAAAACATAAGATCCATAAATGATCGTGAATTTTCAGAATTTTTACTTCGTGTTAGTGATGGGAATGAAGATGTTATTATGGATGATATGGTAAAACTACCTGAATGCATGGTGATACCATGGGAGAGTGAGCATTCCATTAATCAATTAATTGCCAAAATTTTCCCTGACTTAGAGGATCATATGAATGATGCAACCTACATGGTGGAAAGGGCAGTGGTAACTCCTACAAATGAAGACGTTGATATGTTAAATGAAAAGATAATCAATATGTTTCCAGGTTTAGAAGAGACAATGTATTCATTTGATTCAGTTGAGGATGATGAAAGGAATTTGTATCAGCCAGAGTTCTTGAATTCAATCTCACTTGGTGGTTTGCCTCCACACAAGTGAACTCTGAAAAGAGGTGCTCCAATCATGCTTTTAAGGAATATTGATCCGAAATTGGGATTGTGTAATGGTACAAGATTATTGTGTCGTGGTTCTTACCAAAATCTTATTGATGCTGAAATTCTAACTGGACAATTTGCCGGATTTAGAGTTTTCTTACCAAGAATCCCTCTCAAAAGTATTGATACTGCTGGGCTTCCATTTGAACTTACAAGAGCAGTTTCCAGTGAAACTAAGTTTCTCTATCACTATAAACAAATCTCAAGGTCAGACAATACCACATGTAGGCGTTTACCTTCCAAATCACGTCTTCAGTCATGGACAATTATATGTGGCTTTATCGAGGGGGGTCTCAAAGTCAACCACAACTGTGTTAGTAAAAATGGCTCCATAGTTGGCCAACAAGGTGTATTTACACGGAATGTAGTATACAAAGAAGTCTTGCTTCATTCCAGCTAATTATGGTGATTCCTAATAGGTAACAACTTTATTAACGATAACCTTTCAATATGCATTTCTCACTTATCATTTAACTCTTTTTATTTGATTTTTAATTTTCTCACTATTGTTCTAGATTGGCAATGAAAATTTGAAGCGTCAATCAGGAACAAATGGGTGGAAATTGCAGCATTGATGTCAATTTTCATACCAAAAGAAACAATGACATATAGACTTTATGGGTATCGTGAAAAATGTACATATTGTGATGTAGGTTTTATATTTTGACATTTAAGTTGTTTTGTATTTTGCTACGAGTACTTAATGTTTTCATCTACTCTTTTTTTATTCACATCTACTTACTATTGTTTATGAACTTTAGGTAGGTAGGAACTTGCATCCAAAATCTCATGTTGTTTGACAATTGCACGAGTAACATTTAAATCATTACTTTACGCAAAGTGAAAACGAAAAACATGACAACTTTTTAGGATATGCATGATAAAAAAAGAGTTCCTCTTTGCACAATACATTTAAAATATATCTTGACAATAAAGATGGGAAAAACTAACACAATACACCTTTAGGGGCGCGTAGCGCCCGTGATGTAAAAATGTCTCTCGCACGCACGTTAGTGCGTACGGAGAGGCTAGTATGTATATATATATATATAGAGAGAGAGAGAGAGAGAGAGAGAGAGAGATAGAGAGAGAGAGAGAGAGAGAGAGAGAATACTATAGGGTAAATTACACAGTAATCCCTCAGGTTTGAGGTCTTGCATAAACCCATACAACATCTTTAAAACATTTCACTTTCATATCTCACGTACCATTTTATTTCAAAATAATACCTCTGTTACATTTTTCATCCATTAATCCGTTAAGTGTTGATGTGGCTGCCACGTGGTAAAAAAAATTAATTTTTTTTAAAAAAAAACCTAAATATTCTAAATAAATATTATAAAAAAAAACTAAAATAAACCACCCCCGTACCCCCCCCCCACCCCACCCCACCCGCGTCCCCCACCCCAAAACCGGAAACCCAGAACACACACCCCAATCCGCGAACCTTCCTCCCTAGATCCCAATTCCTACAACCAGTTCGTCTTCTCCCCGCACCCGCACTCACCCTCCCTCCCCCTTCTCCTTCCTCCATGTTTATCTTCTTCCCCCGAAACCCCTTCCTGCAACCTAAAAAAAAAAAAAAAAAAAACAATCCAGTTCATCTTCCCCCCGCACCCGATTCCACCTCACCAACCCGGCGATGGCAGCGTAGACGCGATCTGAGTTTTTTTTTTTTTTACCTTCCCTTTCTTTTCTGGGTTGCAGGGGGAAGAAGATGAAGATGGGGAAGAAGAAAGGAGGAGGGGGAAAGACGAACTGAAAGGGTTTCTTTTTTCTATTTTTTTTTAAATATGTATTTAGAAGATTTAGTTTTTTTTTTTTAAATATAAAAAAAAAATGGCCACGTGGCACACATAACGGATTAATGGATAAAAAATGTAACGGAGATATTATTTTGAAATAAAATGGTACGTGAGGTATAATAGTGAAATGTTTTAAAGATGTTGTATGAGTTTGTGCAATACCTCAAACCTGAGGGGTTACTGTGTAATTTACCCAACACTATAAGCTGATAAATAATTTTTGAAATTAAGTTTTGAGAGCAACATATTGAATGGGTGCAAGTTTGAAGGTTCTTCCATTGTGCAAGGAAGAACCTTATCAAAAGAAGGTTCTGGGCTGTTTTATCTTGGGGACGACGTGATGTTTGTGAACTGCTTGCACACTTTTGGGCAGAGCCGTGAAACGTCTTAAAGAGAGCGACTTAGTCTGCGACTCATCCCAAGAATCATTCATCACTCAAGGCTTTTACATTTTCCTGGTAACTTCGTTCCTTTCTATTTCAGTTTTCAACAATTACTGCATGCATTTTCACATATCAGCATCATAACTCTTACCTTTGTTTTTCTCTCATGTCGCATTAGACTAGGAGTTTTGATTTTGGCTGTTGATATAGGAATTATGCATTGAGAGTCTAAAGTTAAAGAAAAAGAAAAAAGCATAGCAAGCACAGTGCATTGAGAAAGAAATTGGTTAGCAGCATTGCAGGTCTTTTATATATTTCAGTTCGAGAGCGAGTATGTTTTGAAGTTATATATAACATATAGTAGTTTGCATTTGTGGCAACACTAAGACACCGAGTGCACTTATATTGCAGCAGAGAGTTTTTCCTTCAAGCTAATCGACATCATATTTTTCAAAGAAAAAAATCTTTTGTGTATTGGTATTTTGAGCAGCCTCGAAACCAATGTCTTGTATTTCAGAAAATTCGGTGTTTGAACTCAAGTGTTTTAAATTATTTTAATCACTGTTTTTTATGAGCTTTAATTAGAAATCAATTATGAAAATGTGTCTTGTGATTTTCGTAATTAATTGTTTTTCAAAAATCACACCATTCATTCATTCTGCATGATCGCGTTAGTATCTTGCAAAGTTCGAGAAGAATGTGATTGACGACCGCGTTAGTGTCGTGCATATCTGATTGGTTGAAAATCCTAAGTCAGCATGTTTCTATTGATTTTTTGGAAGCCTATATAGAGGCATTAGATAGGATTTCTAAAGGTTGCTGCAGTTTTATGATTAAAAAAAAAAAGTTTCATACTGCTGCGGTATCACAACATATATATACATTGAATTTTTTTTTCTAATTGTGCAGATATCGCATCTTATTAGAAGTCGTAAGGCGGTGACGACTGCACCCCGATCGATTCCCCCGCTTCCTATTTTAGCCGCCACTGCTCCAACAAAAATGGACCCCAGGCTGGTTAATCTGGTTGATCCGGTTGGTCGTTGGGTCTCCCAAGTGCCGACGTCATCGACCTTTTCAGTGGTGCTACTCGTTAGTGTGCTCACCGCCACCCCCACACGCCCGACACAACATCGGGATCCACTACTGATGCCTAAGGGTCACAACCAGGTAAAGTTAAATAACTCCCTTTATTTCCTTGTGAATTTAGTTATTCATATATTAAGTTCAATCAAAATTGTTACGTACTGCAATTGTGCGCTTGGTCCAAATTTGACTTATTCAATTGTTGTGATTGTTGTTGGATATCATATATTATTCATTACAATGTCCAAGGTTTGGGAAATGTTATAATCTTAGGGGAGGTTTTGTTGAAATTTTGGTACAATTTGTAGTGTTTGTTTGACCTTTTTTTTTTTTTAGTAAAGACAAATGCCCAGGGGCATTGTCGCTAGTTAAAGACGGTGAAGGACACATGAATGACCAACGAACATAACACGATTGGATACGATGACCAGTATCGGCTGCACCAACGACAGAGCAGCATAGCACATTGGCCCATGACATTGGTCATGTCGTTCAGACCTATTGCCCTATGCGATGAAAGTCTTGGAAGGGTGATGTCAGACGAGGTGAGGACGAAGGTGCGCGATTATTTGTTGGTAAGTATCCTGACTTTTTATTGCTTTTCGTTTAAAGTTTATATATTTATATTAATTAATGTATGTAATTAATTTGTTACATTGCAGACGAACTACAATTTCGACGACATCAAAGACAATATGTTGGTGTACGTCAACAAGCTTTTCGCTGAACGGTACAAGCAATGGAAGAGTGACTTGCACCAATATTTTGAAACGTTTGATGATCTACAAGTCGCTCTTGAGGAGGGTTGTCCAAAGGAGTTTGAGGACCGGGAAGAAAATTGGGTGTAGCTCTGCAGTCATTTTCAGGAGCCCGTTTATGTGGTATGTTTTTTTATATTAAGTCTGAAAGTATTATACGTTTCATACCAATGTTTATTGATTTTTTTTATATTTCATTTAAATTACAACTAATACGTTTATGTGTATAACAGAAGAAGGCGAAAGCCAACAAGATCAATTGGGAGAAGAAGATTCTTCTCCACCATTTGGGTTCGAGGCCATTCTCATATAGGATGGAGGCGCAGTGGTAATATTAATTTTTTTACATACTAACATTTTTCTTATCTTGTTTTATTCGATGTCTTTGCAAATGTTTATGTTCGACCCGGGGATGAGTTGGCCGAGTCCCTTCATGTAAGTATTCTTCAATTGTAATTACTATCTTACGCATTCAAGTATCATGGTTATTATTTCAATGTTATTATTAATATTTCATGGTATATTACACATGCGACGATGATGGAGAAGAGGCAGTCGGTTCTTCAAGAGTCCGTCTTCCAGCTTCCTCCTGACACTCCGATCGAGTTTGTGGATCTCCTCAAGGATACGGGGTTTTAGATCCTTACAGACACCTTGGATCAGACTCTAGGGCAGAGGTCGGGAACGTATTGTAAGGGGATGGGGAATGCCCAGTGGCGGGAACCTAGAGTCTCTTCATCCTCGCAGTTGAATGGCGAGGTGACAGCTTTGACAGAAGAGGTGGCCGGCCTTAGGAGTAAGCTCGCCTCGTATAAGAGCCAGATGTCACTTATCGTAAAGGCCCTTAGTGAGTCCGACATTCATCTCCGGATATTCGTACCCCATCGATGTCCGAGCCCCTCCAACTAAAGC